CAACTCACAACTAACTGGATTAACGCAGTGTAACTAGTTAGCAAAAATCAATTTGGGGGGATGTGGCTCAAGCGGTAGTGCGATTGTCCGGCATGCGTGCCGCCCAGGTGCGATCCTCAGCACCACATACCAACAAAGATGTTGTGTCTGCCGAAAACTAAAAAATAAATATTAAAAAATCAATTTGGTTCATTTGGCACCTCTAAATCCAATAATCCCGCCCTTCACTGAAATGTTATTAAATGCAAAATAGATAGCATATGGCTAATGGAGTAGGAATAACAAATTAGAAGGGTTTATTTAATAAACATAATTAAACAGATTCTATAAAGCAGAAATAACAAATCTACTTTCAGGAAAGCAGATTGAGACCCCTCCCTCAAGATCTCTGAGACAGATCTAATTCACTAACATATTACAAACAAGAAAAATGAAAGAGGTAACACACTCTTCCTCTTCCCTTTTTCAAAACTGGGTGACAGTAAGAGACTCCTTCAAGAGATTACCATTGTGGGCTGGGAAGGTGGCTCAAGCAGTAATGCGCTCCCCTGGCATGCGCGGGGCCCTGGGTTTGATCCTCAGCACCACATAAAAAAAAAAATAAAGATGTTGTGTCCACGGAAAAAACTAAAAAATAAATATTTAAAAATAAATATTTAAAAATTCTCTCTTTAAAAAAAAAAGAGATTACCATTGTAGTTATGTGTTCAGACAGTTTTATACAAAGACAGGATGAAATTTTTCTGTGTCCCATCCGTTATTTTTTTTTTTTCAGGTTGAGCCATACTATTATTTTTTATTTTTTGTTAGTACTGGGGATTTAAGTTGTTGTTGTATGAGTCAGTCTAGCTATATTGTAGAGGTTGGTCTCGAACTTGTGATCCTCCTGCCTCAGTCTCCAGAGTTGTTGGGATTATAGGTGTGCACCACCACGCAAAGAAACTAATAAATGTTTAAAATAAGATCAATCCCTGAATGGATAGACTACTGTTTTGTTTCTTGTCCAAGTTGGTTTATTTTTAGGGACAAAATGTATTCTACCCACAACCACAGCCAGGGAGCACCACTTCTGTGCAGCACTCAAAAATGATTTCCTTTTAATAAAAAGAAATGGCTATCTTTCTAAAGGACAGACAAGTGTTATATCAAAATGGCTACCAAGAACCTGATACATATTTCACAGAGCAGTTATCTTTGGAATCACAAATATTTCTTAAGACTCAGTGCAACAAACATACCAGGAGTGTATTGGCAACAAATGTCATTTACAAACAGATAACATTTAGGCCCAAATCAAATAATTCACAAAACGAAATAAGATCTAATAACTAAGATCTGACTTCTGACTGGTGGCCCTGGATTCAATCTCCAGAACCAAAAATAATAATTAAGATCTGAAAGTCCAGCCTCATTGATAATCAGAAAAATGTGTGATAAAACAATGATATCATTCTTTTAAGTGTTAAGTTAGCAAAAATGAAAAAATAACTGGGTACAGAAACTGATGTAATTTTTTGGGTTATGGTGAATATTTATAATGCTCAAACCTTTTGACAAATAATTCTAATTCTGGAACTTTATTCTATAGGAAATAACCCAAAATAGACAAGTAATAGAAACTGAAAAAACATTCATTATATAATTTACTGAAAATGTATAAAATACTTCCACAACAGAATATCATGAAACTATTAAATGATAATTAGAAAGAATATTTAACATGAAAATATGCATGTTATAATGTTAAACACAAAATGCAGTATAAAATAGTATAGAAAAATGGAGAGAAAGAAATTAACAAATTTATTAATACTAGTTGTCTCTGGGTGGTGAAATTATAGACCTTCTTTCCCCACAATTGATGGCTATCTTCAGACAAAGCTGCAACTAATATTTATCTAATTTCCAGATTAAGGAAGCTATTCAAACTTAATAAAAGAAAAATCAAAAAAATAAAGTCGATTTGATCCAATGATTTCACCTCGACTACAAATATAAAAACAAAAATGAAAAGGCAAAAAATAACCTGAAATAGGTATTTATAACATATTACAGAAATCTGAGTAACAGTGTTTATTTACAAAACACAATCTAATAGAAAATAATAAACACTAAATTTAAAACTCCTATAGATAAATCAGTGTAAGATATGAACTACATCACATTAATGTAAATTAAAATTCTAAGAAATTAAGGAAAATGGAACCTAATCTCATCAATAACCAAAAAATGAAAAAAAAAAAGGCTTTTATTTATAAAAATAAGTTTTAAGGAAGAAAATTGGCAATATATATTGGGTGTTAAAAATATTCATAGCCTTTATGTAGTAATTCCAATTCAACAGATGTCATCTTAACCAAATAATACAAATACTTGTATTTTCAGACCTTAATTACAGAAGAGGCAATAATCTTTACTACCCCACATTTGGATCAACGCACTAAAATATTAATCTTAAGATTAAAAAAAAACAAAACTCTACTACAGCAAAGCCTTAGACCAGATCACAAATCAGGCCAAAACAGGGAGGGTGTGTCCAGCCTGCTGCAGTCGGCCATTTTAGACCCTCTATAGAACAACAAAAAAAAGTGTAGATGAGGATAGCAACCCCAGGAGGCTCCAAATCAACAATTGTTTACTTTTTTATTCCTGCATATATAGCCCTGTACTGTGCACTAAGTCAAAAGCAGTAAACAGGTCTCCTTCCTTTTTAGTTTTCGGTGAACACAACATCTTTATTTTTTTAATGTGGTGCTGAGTTTTATGATTTCAAAACGAAAAGTTTCCTTTAAATGTGTCCCTTTACTTTAGGAAATAAAACAATGTTTAGGCACACAGGATTCTGGACATATACTATCTATATTAAAATCCAGTCTGCCATTCAACTGACTATACAGTCTTGGACAAATTAATCTGGGACCTTCAAATTTCTCATTTGTAAAAAATGAACAAAGTACTGCTATTTCATAGGATTGTGGAGAATACTAAATGAGTTAAATAATATGTAAAAGCATGTAGGCCAACCAGTACTTGGCACTAGTAAATACTAGACATTTAAGTGTAATTATTATAAATAGGTCCAGAAAAGGAAAAGGACTAGCCTAAGGTCATGGATAGGATTACTGGAAAAGATCTGTCTCTTCACTTTTGAATCCTGAGCCTTCTCCACTATAATCTATATCTAAGTGTTAACTATTGTTTTTAGAAATTAACAAACTCCATCCTCACTGGCAGCACTCAGCCACAACACTGCAGCTGCACCTCCCCCCCAAAAAAAAAGGAAAAAAAAGAAACATAAATCCCCCACCACTCCCCACCCCCGAGGAAACCATGTAGGAAATTATTCAGAAGAAAAAGTAATTTAGAGAAAAGTGTGTAAGCCCAGGTCACTTTCATACTAACATAACCACTAAATACTTTTCAAATTTCTCTCCCTGCCCTTTGGGTGCCCCTGGCAGCCATTTGCCCAAATCCCAGGTTTCAAGCAAAATCTAACAAACATTTGGAAACAGCTAAATCCTCACCCCTATGTTCTAAAGGGGAGAAAGATCAGAGATTTTCAACCAACATAACAGTAGTTTCTCACATTGCAACCACTATGCTGTGCTATTCCGATGCGATGAAAAAAATGTATCCAAAATCACATATAGCGGCCCAAAATCCGAAAGCCTTTCAAATATATATTGAAATATATTCCGAAAGTGGCAAAGAACGGTCTCTAAGTGATGACCTTTTACGCCCCTCCTACACACAGCCAGCTGCCGCAACCTTTTACAGTCATCTCCGCATTTTTAAACGCACACTATCCGTAAGCCAGTAAGAAGCTAAGACTCCGGGTTACTTCCTTGTGGATTTAGCCACAACCTATAACTTTCAAATCAGGCTGATCCCTTCATTAACTAGAAAGGAAGATCTGCTTCTCTGCAGACCCTTCTGGCCCAAAGCGGCCAAAGACAACTTACCGACCCCCTCGCCATTTTGTAACCTTAATTACCCATGCGCAGCGCGCCTCCCTCCCTCCCTCCCGGCTTTCTGACGGAAATACGCAGGCACGCTGCTCCTTCCAGACAGTTGAACTCAACCGTCACCATGTTGTCTGAAATACGCATGCGCACCCTCGCTCTCTCTCCCTCCCCTTCCAACTGCTGGCGCAACTTTGATTTCTCTGCAGAATTCGCCTCTTTCACTTTCGACCCTCCACGCCCACCCCCACCCAAGCCTTGCGCCTGCGTGCCTCTCTCTTCCCCGCCACTGGAGCCCCTTCGCTTCACATTAGGCCTTCTCATAAAATACTTGAATGCCGCCACTCCGCGCCGCGCCGCCTCATCCCAGCCTCTCAAATGCCGCGCACACCGCGCCTGTCCTCCTTATTCTCCCCACTCCAGCTACCACCTCCGTCATGCACACGCGCGCGTGCACATACACACACAGGCCTAATGATATGTGGATGTGTTTCTCGCTATAGTTATGCCCCAGTGCCCAAAATGAGTCATTACCAGCCTTCCCTAATACAGTCTGATAAACTAGGGAAGTTGAATACGGGGGGAAAAGGCGTTACGGGTGATCAGAGCATATCCCAGAACTAGATTTATCCTCCCCGACCCCAAGGGAGGAGCTAGAGTACTCTCGGATTCACATAATGTATTATAAGGCCCGCCAACCTGAACAAAAGCTAGAAAGCTTTCTCATAAACCATCGGATGAGCCTAATCCTAAACCCTCACCTGCTACAAATAGGAAAATCGCCCCCCCCAAACTGTTTAAACATGAGGCATTATAGAAAATATCGATGCTCAGATGCCTCAACCCTATTTAAAGGAAAGCTTGTATCCCTTTCACAATGGGAAATAAATGCTCAACATCTTTTTGGAGGTCTGAAGCCCGTACTGGCCCTCATTTTCGCCCGTCAACCGGGGGGAATGCAGAAATTAAGGATCTCCATGGCCCGAGTTTCCTCGGCCACCCTCCACATTATGTTCTCCCCCTCTGTCCTTCCTTTACCTCCTGGCTGAATCGAGTGCCATAGCGAGAATTCCTAGAGCCGGCTGTCCCAAGACAGTGTGCAGAGAGTAAGAGATGCCTGGGTGGCGGCAGCAGGCCTTAGAAGCAGTGGGTATTGGGCAGGAAACCTGCCATGCCTCCAGCCGCAGGGCTGATGCCAGAAACCCACAGCTTGTCCTGCAGCTCTGCAGTGTGCTTCTGGCGCATGCGCAATCACCCCACCCCACCCTCGGCTCCGATTGAAGTCGAAGCAGGCGCCTTAACACATTACCAAGTATCTGGATCTCTAGTCCACCCTGCTTCTTCAACGTTCGGCTCCCCTACGTGGCACCAGCTTCCAACACCATACTTTCCTCAGCCCATTGGTCTTTCGTCAATCCCTCTCCCATTCTTCTTAGCCCACTCTTCCATCGCCAAGTTTGACTACCCTTATTCTGCCTGTTACCTTGGTGATCTAAACTTCAATTCTTGGCCTTCAGGGTCTGCAGCCCTACCGGGCCTCTTACTCCTCCCCTGTTGTTTCTGATATTACAAATTGTAAAAGAAAAAAATGGAAAAACAAAAAAACAAACTTGCAAAAACCGAAGAAAGAGTCAGCCGGGCTCAATGACTCATGCCTGTAATCCCAGCTTCTTATGAAGCTAAAGCAGGAGAATCAAAATTTCAAGGCCCCCTCAGCAATCTTTAACAAGACTTTGTCTCAAAATTTAAAAAAAAAAAAAAAAAAGGACTGGGGATGTAACTCAGAGGTAGAGCGCCCCTGGGTTCAATCCCAGTACCTGAAAAAAAAAAA